AATTATATTCTTGTCCAGGAGACTAAGAAGGGACAGAAAATAGCCACTCTGGATGGTGACTGAAGCCCATTTAGGGTCAGTGKCGTAAAAGAAATGATAGAACTGAAACCCTGATTTTAGGGCTTTATACTCTGATCAGATAGTGCTGCCTTGTGGATAGGAGATTTCTGGGCCTCCCTACCTTCCCCTTCTTCTTGCCCTCAGTTGTCACCATTAGTTGTTGTTTTGTACTGTAGACTGAAGCCAGATGTGCTAAACCGTTTTTATTTTTTACTTATAAAATAGGGTCTCACGAAGTTGCTGATGCTGGCCTGGAACTTGTGATCAGCCTGTTAATCAGCCTGCCTTAGCCTCCTGAGCTGCTGGTATTACAGGCGTGTGCCACCAAGCATCACCTCACGTTTATCTTTTTTTTTTTTTTTTTTTTTTTTTGGGAGGAGTGGTACCAGAGATTGAACTCGGGGGCACTTAATCACCAAGCCACATCTCCAGCCCTTTTTTATATTTTATTAGAGACAGGGTCTCACTGAGTTGCTTATGGCCTCACTAAGTTGCTGAGGCTGGATTTAAACTTGCAATCCTCCTGCCTCAGCCTCCCAAGTCACTAGGATTAAAAGCGTGCGCCACCACGCCTGGCATATTTATCTTTTTAATGACCATTTCCAAAGCAGATATTCACAACATTTATTTCATTTATGCATGAGCATCTATCCTATCCTTAGCAAGTCCTTACAGCAGGTCCTTAAATATATAGGAGACATCTATTAAGTATTTGAAGGAACAGACCTTTTTCCTCTCTGTATGCTCTCTTTTCACTTACAACTGTCTTTTTTTTTTTTTTTTTTTTGAGCGTGAGACCAAATTTCCCCGTCCCTCCTAAACTTGAGCTTTCTTTTCCTGCTTCAGAGAGCAGCAGTTTCTAAGCAGTTGTTGCCAGCTAACCAGCAATGTCACCAAACATAGGCAGCTGTGCCCTTTTCCATTTAAGACATTCACTAGTTTGCTCTTGTTCCAGTTGGTGCCCAGTGACTTGAATGGGGTCTACTTTGGGCCAAGGCCAGCTGAGGCCACAAGCTGGGCATTCAGCAGATGAGTCCTTGATCTGTCCTGTCTGTCTTCTGCAAGGGAGGAAACAGGGAGGAAGTCGACTATCTGAGCCCAGGCCCACAGCCAAGCACTTTCCTTCTCCTTTGGGCAGTCAGTGTGTGTACTTTCTCATTCAGCAAGCATTTATTAAGCACCTTTTGTGTATACTCAGGGGAGTCCCTCCTTTGAGAGAGTGAGCACTGAGCAGAGACCCCTTGCAGGAGCCAGGCATCCTTAAAGAGCTATTGTTCGGGGAACCTTTTCCTTTTTGGAAGCCCTACATCCGCTGGAGCCTCCTGATGGGAGGCCCTGGGAGATGGGAACAAAGAGACTGTTAACATTAATGAGGCACATTGAGTGGGTATTTCCGCAGTCTCCAAGGGAAGGCAGGTTTTCCTCTTTCTTTTTGGAAAGTGACAGTTGCTGTGGACCAAAAAGGAACTATTTTTGGCTCCCAGGACTTAAAGATGCTCAGTTCCCTCCCTGCTGCCCTGTCATTTATTATCACCCTCCACACAGGGAAATAAATAAAGCCTTTTGATCTTCACCCAGTAAGGCACAGAATAAACTTAAACAAAAGTGAACTTGTGACATGAATGAGGAAGAGACGCTGACAGCTTCTTCCTCTGCTCCTGAAAAAGAAGCATCCTGTCAGCTGTGCCAGATGGACATGTCTACCCATGGCACCCCAGCTGCCAAGGAAGGCACAAGGGAAAGTTTGATGCCTCACTGGCCACTGCAGGCTAAACAGTAGCCACTGTGGGTACCCTTTTTACCAGAGTGTTATAGGAAGGGACTTGAGTGTTCCTGACATGCTACTCTGCTTAGAACCTTCAACCCCCATATCAGCTTGGGCTGGTAGGAACTTAAAAGTTCCATGTAGGGGAAGAACTCTTGGTTAGCTATGTGAGAATTGGTTAGGTTCTGGTTCTCTACCATGAGAATCTTAGAAAGCTGCTTTGCAGTCTTTCATTTATAAAATGGGGACATGATAGTACTTACCTTCTCCAACAGTCATGAAGATCATTGAGATAAYTTATCGCTTAACACAAGGTCTGCCTGGCCCACTGTACTATACTAAATGTCAGCAGTGCCTATGATTGTGAGGGCTGAGGCTAAATCTGCAGTGAAAGCTGCAGATGACAACCTAATCCCCACCCCTTTCCTAGGATCTCAACAGGGGAGTCTAGAAGGGCTAGTTGGCTTGGCACTGATGAGCTCCCTCCCTCTTTGCTCTCCTTCCCCTCTCTTTCTCTCTAGGGGACACTACACAGAAAATGAGAACTGCTCACTATCCCACCCCAGCCGAATTGGATGCGTATGCTAAGAAGGTCGCAAACAACCCACTGACTATAAAAATCTTCCCCAACAGTGTGAAGGTTCCCCAGCGGAAACACGTTCGTCGTACTGTGAACGGCCTCGACACATCAGCCCAGCGCTACAGCCCCTACCCGACTCAGGCTGCCACCAAGGCAGGCCTGCTTGCCATTGTCAAAGTGCCAGCCAAAAGCATACTCAAGGACTTTGACGGCACCCGAGCCCGGTTACTCCCCGAGGCCATCATGAACCCCCCAGTGGCACCCTATGCTACTGTGGCACCAAGCACTTTAGCCCATCCCCAGGCCCAGGCTCTGGCCCGCCAGCAGGCCCTGCAGCATGCACAGACCCTGGCCCATGCCCCTCCCCAGACGCTGCAGCACCCTCAGGGTATCCCGCCACCACAGGCGCTGTCTCACCCTCAGAGCCTCCAGCAGCCTCAGGGCCTGGGCCATACTCAGCCCATGGCCCAAACCCAGGGCTTGGTCCACCCTCAGGCCCTGGCTCACCAGGGTCTCCAGCACCCCCCCAATCCCTTGCTGCATGGAGGCCGGAAGATGCCAGACTCAGATGCCCCCCCGAATGTGACCGTGTCTACCTCAACTATCCCCCTTTCAATGGCGGCCACCCTGCAGCACAGCCAGCCCCCGGACCTGAGCAGCATCGTGCACCAGATCAACCAGTTTTGCCAGACGAGGGCAGGCATCAGCACTACCTCAGTGTGTGAGGGCCAGATCGCCAACCCCAGCCCCATTAGTCGCAGTCTGCTCATCAATGCAAGCACTCGGGTATCAACCCACAGCGTCCCCACACCAATGCCTTCATGTGTGGTCAATCCCATGGAGCACACCCATGCGGTTCCAGCCGCATTGCCTGCCACAGGTCCTGTCAACTTGCCCACAGGCATCTCTCGAGCCCCCACTGGCTACTCTAGCGACCTCAAGCCAGTTGCCTGGAACCAGCACCAGCTGGCCCACCTACAACAGATGTGCAGCGAGGCTGGTGGGACACCAGCCCCTGGCCTGACAGGCAAGCATGCAGCAGGACGTGAGTTGGCAGGGCCTGGCTTTGTGGGTAAGGCCCCTGCCTACCCGCAGGAACTCTGCCTGGCACAGTCGTTCCACCTGAAGCCACCCCTGGAGAAGCMGACCCCATCCCCACCAGTCAACGGCCTGGCAGCCCCATTGGCCTACCCCAATGGTCACTACTTCCAACCCTTATGGAACAACATTCTGCCCACTCCCAATAGCGACAGCTCGGGGTCTCAGGACCTTGCCATGCCGTTCCACGGTGGGCAGCCCACAGGTGCACCCCTCGACTGTGCGGCAGCTCCTGGGGCCCACTACCGAGCAGGGACTGGGGGCGGTCCAGTGGCAAGCCAGAACAGCTTGATGCAAACAGTGGATTACCTGAGTGGGGATTTCCAACAGGCCTGCTTCCGAGAACAGAGCCTGGCCATGCTGAGCAAGGCCCACCGAGCCCCTGGCAGCCGAGCCCCTGATCCCACTGATAGTCGAAGTCTTCATATTCAGCACCCGGGGTATAGATAGGGAGCCATGGTGCCCTCCTTAAGCAACACTTCATACATCACCCTTCTAGGTTTAGTCTTACTTTAAGTAACTGGATAGTTTCAAAGTTTCACTGCTCCAATGTGATCATTCTAAGACATTTAAGGGAGGGAACTTGATGGAATCCAATTAGGGGAAGAAGGGGTTCTCTTGTCCTCCCTTTCAGCAACTTTTGTTTTCATGTTAACAATGTATCCCTGAAGCCAGGATTTTATCATCTCCACTGCCTGCCTATTAGTCTGTCTTCACCTTGGCCATTTCCCCCCAACCTCCTTCCATCTTTTCCTGAACCTCTACCTGTTTTCCTTAGGAATGAAGTGTGACTAAGGGAAGGGGCCTTAGGCCCTAAGCTAGGCCTCTCCCTTTAGAACTAATAAGCCAGACTTTGCAAGTGCTCTGGACGCTCAATCCTTATTCACCCAAAGATCTCAAATCAAAACTGACCTATTCTTCATCTCCTCCCCACTCCTTACTAAATTTTTTGGTTTGCTTTTATATTGCTTTCTATAGCCACTGCACTTGTGTTTGCCTTTGCCACACTGGACTCAAGGCCATCTTGCAGGTATTTGGCCTTAGTCTTTGCTACATGGAGAAAAATGTCTTTGTATTGGCATCTTGTTTCCTGACTTTGCTTCCAGACCTGGAGAAATTCAGTGGCCATCTAGCATACCCCTTCTCACTGTTGCCTCTCTCCTAACTTAACTGTGTCCTTATCCCTCTCCCCTCTCCCCTTTGCCCTCCAGAAAAGCAGAACAAAAACTACCTTACTCAAGGAATTAGGTAGGTAAGGGATGATCACATTGGAGTTTGAAATTAAAAACACCAAAAACAAAAAGAAAAAAAAAAGCATTTGGTTCTCTCTACACTGGCTAAGAATATTGTTCTACACTGTAAGTTTTAAATGTCATGTTTCTGTATGAATGTAGTGTGGGTTTGAGTAGCATTGTGTATGAGTGGCCCCACAGGTACATTCACCCTCCTAATCACCTCCTTTGCAGCCCCTCAGTTTAATGAAGAAAGGAGAGAAAAGAAAAAACAAACACAAAGCCTTAAGCTCTTTGAATTCTTCCTCAACCAAATGAGCATGGTTTTAACTAGTGGAGATGGGCTTATATTGGAAACAGCCCCTCCTACCACAGTCCATTCTCAGAGCATCCCCCACCTACTCCATGCTCAACACATCTCATTCCCAAGTGACAATTAGTTGGCTAGAAACTTAACACTTTTATGTAACTTTAAACTTAGATTTTTGTTTTGTTGTAAATTATGCACCCATCTTCTGTTAAAGATGCACAATGGGCTTTTTTTTTTTTTTTTTTTTTTTCTTTAACCAAATAAGCCCTTACCTTTTCTCCTGTCTCTGGGGAATGTAAGCTGATATTTAAGATTTTGGGTTCTGTTTACTATCCACTGTTCCTTAGCCAGAAATTCTCTAGTGATCTGAAGCAATGTGACTGAAGACCAGTTTTTAAATTATGTGTTGGCAAGTTGCCTTATATTTAAAAAGAAAAAAAAAAAAAGGAAAAAACTGCCTGATTGTGTTATGCCAAATGATAGCAACATGAAGTCCTAATTTATTGTTCCCAGTTGTTTTCCTACTGTCTGTGTACACTGGTACCCCCCTTATCCCTGAGCCCTCAGGAGCCCCTGCAGCTTCTGGTGGATGCCTTCTCCCCAGGTGTTGGCCACTGTCTCACCCAGGGCCCCCTTCCAGTCCTGCTGTTCTGAGTCAAGTTTAATGAGCACTACTGTTTACCCTTATCTCTTCCTTGATTTCCAAATCAGATATTCTTGCTGTAACCCCCTTCCCCATCTCTCTCTCCCCAAAAGGTGAGCTGCCATTTTAGGAAACCGGACCAGACACCAATTTGGGGGCTTTAAGTCAAACAACCTCAAACCCATTTCTTCCTGTGTAGGGGTGCAAGTCTCTGAAGCTCTCACTCCCACCCCTAGTCTGCATGGAAAATGTACTGTGATCCCCCACCCCCAACGAACTACCCTCGCCTTTGGTGTGAGATGTTTCCTAGTTCAACCTGAGTCCCCTGCTCCTCTGCCAGCCAACCCCCAACCAGCAATAAGGGTCCAAGCCAGGGCCTCCTACCCACACTCCCTGCCTCCTATCCACACATCCCATGCCACCCCTAGGGAATACCTGGATTCCCCACTCTATCCACATACTGTAGCATTCATTCTCCATCTCTCACCTCACCTGTGGTGGTTTATGGGTGTGATGGGGTTTTTAAGATTATTATAAACCAGTAAAAAGAAAAAACTCACCTTTTGACCTTGTTCTATTCGTTTACTGTGGTGAATGTTTGAGGTGATGTTTTCTTATGTCATTTTCTAACTTGTCTCCCTACTTGTGCTGGTGGTAGTGGGGTCCTGTAATAATTCCACTCAAACCGTCCCCATTTTAGTCCAGGCCACATGCCGTGGCGACTCCCCCAGGGGGTTGAGAGAGATGGCAGCCCTCCATCCAAGCTGGGCTCCTAGGGCCTGTCAAATTTGGGAGGTGATAAGTATGGTTTGCTGCTTCTCGCTAGCAGCCCAAAGGATTCTGCCATTTTCACTATAAAGACCATGAGTTGTTAAAAATGGAGATCTGGTTTGCCCATAAGAGAACCAAAAAATTTTAGGCYTCTCTCCTCCCTGCTTCAGCTTTGCGATTTCTGAGGGCCTCTGACAGAGGTGGAGGTAATAGGTGCTGTAGTCTGCAACATGAAAGCTCCTTTGGTGAGTTAAATTTCCTCATGTTGACTACTAGAGAACTTTACCTCATTTATGTGCAAGAGGGTAAACACCACTGTGGATTACAGGCAGTGGTGCAAATGCTAGCCTTAACAATTAATGTAGCTTAGTGATAAGAGTGCTTACCTAGGTCCTGAGTTCAGTCTCCAGTACAAAAAGGATGCATTGCCCCCTTTACTCTTCATGTTACCGTAAGAAATCCTCCTCAGAAGAGTCTTGGCAGTCCACCAAGTCATGTGGAGCTAAGCAGTGGCAGGTGAGACAACTTGGGAGTTAGGCACACACTGATGCAGAACCTGGCCCAAGTTTCACAAAGTAATAGTAAATGGCACTGGAGAGCGAGCCAGCCCTACCAAGCTGATTGGAGGAGTCAACTGCATGATTTGTGTACAGTTCTAGAGGCAGTTCATATCAATGTGCCTCTCCTGGAATCGTGCAATAGCAGCGTCCTGGCAGCAGAGAACACCCACCTTTGATTCAGGCTTTCTAGTTTCTTTGAGATGCTGGAAGGGCAGTTTCACCTGTTGCCTGGTAGAGGCATTTCCTCTGATAGTTTTCTCTACCATTTCCCAGGTATCACTGTACTATGCTGGTTTGTCTCCTCAGCTAGGGCCCCAACTTCTGGTAGTGAAATGTACCTTCTTTGAAAAGATGGTTAGGAAAGAGCTCCCAGGCTCTGGCTTAGTCCTTCCCTGTCAGCTGATAAATGGCTTTTTCACATTACCCTTTGACAAAAATAATTCCTTAACTTTCCCTTACTAGGTAACAGTTTCCACAATTTGGGCTTCTTCCCAAGGCTAAACAAGACCACTAAGGCAGGTTTTGATTAGTTCATTTAATCATTTCAACAAAATCTAGAATTGAGCAGAATTAATTCCCATGTAGCTAAGAAACTTGCCAAATGCAAGCCCAAGTGTATTGCCAGAATTGGAGCTGTATTTCTTGGAGTTTTAAAAGAATCTTGGGGCTGGAGTTGTAGCTCAGTAGAGCATATGGGTAGCATGCACAAGGATACCCAGCACCAGGGGAAAAAAAGAAATTCAGCCCTGTCCTAGACCAGCTGAAAGAGTACTGATAATTCACTAATGTTCCTAGCTGGTAAAGTATGGGTGACTGCAGGTGGCCACTGAGGCCTATATGAAGGATGGACAAAAAGGTTCAAGTGCCTTATATCTTTTTTCTTTTAGTTGTAGAACTTTGTTTTCTTTATGTTGCCGAGGATCAAACCCAGTGTCTCACACACGCGCTCTACCACTGAGCCACAAACCTAGCTTGCCTTGTACATCTTGAAGACACCTCTATTCAGTCCCCAGGTATAGGCTGGTTAGGTTAACATTTGTTAAGCACTTAGAATAAATGTCAGGAACATGTATTGTCTCATTAACTTCAATAAGACCCACTTAAGACAGATCCTTTTACTATGATGTAAAAGTTAATTTAACTTGACTGCTATAYGGAAAGAAATATTTTGCATCAAGTTCTTGGCAGTGTCTGTAACCAGAAAGTACTAAATGAATGAAAGTTGTCATCAGGAGACAGGCTTGATGATACAACTCAGGAGGCAGAGGATCACAGTTCAAGGCCAGCCTCAGCAACTGAGACCCCTCTGAATAAAAAAGGGTTGGCATGTAGCTCATTAACAGAGTGCCCCTGGGTTCAATCCCCAGTACCAGAGGCCTGGGGCTTATGACATAGCATTTGATTTTTGGTGAGTAAAGAACTGGGGATTCCAGCCTTATCCTGCACCTTTCCCATTTAACCACCAGGAGGCAGCAACAGGTCTTTTCTAAAGTCTGCTGTGGTTCCCCCTGGTGCCCACCAGAGGGCGACTCAGCAGGGCAGCTGATCTTGGGGTCATAGWGGCAGCACTTCTCTCAGTGGTCCTTTGCATAGTTAGCCCCAACCTCCCAGGGACTTAACTAACTCGGAGGAGACAGGCTGGAACCAAGTTAATAAATACAATTCAGGATTTATTAAAAATCAGGGCTCCCCTGTTGTGCCTTCCTGGTGCTAAGGAAATAAATAACCAGAAGGGACACAGCTGGGGAAAGAAAAATCAAATCTCAAGACAGATTTTTTTTTTTTTTTAAACTACCCCTCCTTTTCCCAATCCCTCCCCCTATGGCTCTTGGGACATAGCACCTGAGCAGGTACCTCAGTCCAGGTAGAATGTGGTTGGCACCAAGGCATACCTGCCCTGCCCAGGAGGGGAGACAGGCCCTGGGATCACTTGTTTCCAGCCCTTGATAACCCAGAGACCTGCTCCCCGCAGGGGCCAGGGCTGAAGCACCAATTGGAGGCACCTGAGGGTGGTAGTGGTAGGGGGAAAACAGGGTAACAACCCAGGCAGCATAAGAAGCTGAAAGGAGGTCCTGCCCCCTCTCTCCAGGTTCAACCAGTGCCTGATAAATCATGTCCCATCCATGCCCCCTTCTCCCCTTGAGCCTGCCAGCTCTGCACTCAGCTGAGGATCTTCCGGGGCAGTTCAACAGAGGCACGGATGAAGACTGCATCATCTCGCACATAGTTTCGCTTTCGGATATCCTGGTGGGAGATGAACTTGGGGTATCCAAAACCCAGAGAACTCTCATCCAAGGAGCCTCGCCAAGTGCCTGGCTTTTGGAAGTTTTTCCAGTTTGGGTCAGGGTGGAAAGTCTCAGTGACATGCTGTGGCTTAGCAAGCCCTGGGTCGCTCTGATCCAGCAGGGAGAAAGTGACACGACGGGCAAAGGGCCACTCAAGGAGATTGTCAAAGGCGCCTGGTAGCACACGAATGTACAGAGAGAGATGTGTGCCCTCACCACTGCCATTGCCATTGAGGAATGCAGACACCTGTAGCTTGTAACCATACTTATGTGTATAGAAGGCTGGGCTGAAGCACTCGAGGTTGGGCTTGGCCTTGGCCTCTTGTAGCCGCCGTCCATAGCTGCCAATCTTCCAGATGAGCACGCCATCACTGCCTACTGATAGTTCCTCCAGCTCTCGACGCAGCTCCTGCAGCTCCTGCCGCTGCCGGCTCACCAGGGCACACATCATAGCCAGATGTGGCTTCACACTCTCCTCCATGTACTGCACCATTGCCAGCTTAGGGCACTGTTGGCAAAGCCCCAGGCAATGAGGGAAAGGAGGACTGTTACCAAAAGGGGAAGGCGCAGGGGTAGCAGGCGCCCAACTCTGCATGAGGAAGACAGGGTGCTAGGAAGAACCTGCAGCTGTACAGCAGGGGGAAGGACCTCAAAGAACTAAACTGCCAGGAAACCTAGCCTTCATCTAGGACTTCATGGGCTAAAGGGGTTGACAGGAAGAAGGGGCATCTCACCCTGTGCTTGCAACCGGAGTCTTTGAACGGGCATAGCACCAAGGCAGTGCTACAGCTGTCCTTCAGATGATTTGGCAGATCCTCCCGAGCCACAGTGCCCACGCCACACTGATTAGGGCAGGGCACAGGCACCCTTGGGCACTGGTACTGGTGACTCTGGGACCACAGAGATAGATAGCAGTCAATAGACTGACCCCTATATCTTCTACCCCACAACCCACAGCTCAGGAAAGGCCTTACCTGGATGGTGTCAAAGACAAATTCCTTTGTGCAATAGGTACAAGGCTGGGTGCGCTTGGGGCACTCAGAAGTGGCATGCTGGGCCAGTAGTCGCCGCATCATGCGGGCACCACACTTGTTCTCACAGTACACACTCTCTTGGGGGCACATACCCTCATGGCTCTGTAGTGATGATGGAGGGGTTGAGTTAAGGGATGCCTGGGCCATCTGCTGCCCATCCTCCCTTCACCCTCAGCCAGGACCCACTCACCTCATAGGCTTCCCCACTGAAGTCACAGCCACAGAACTCACACTTGAGGCGCCGCTTTGGGCAGTCGTGTTGCAAGTGTGCAGGCAGATCACGGCGACTCAGCTTGGCAGGACAGCGATTGGGGCAGGGAACTACATTGAAGCTGCAGGTATTCAGGTGTCCCTGGTGGGAAGAACTGCAGTCAGCATCTGCCGAGGATGGGGTAGTTCCACCCCCACCAATAGAACCTCACCTGTAAATGACGAAGTGGCCCACTCCAGCGGCAACCCTCCTCACTGTGGATGCAGCGGATGGGCAGGCCTAGCACCTGGACCTCCAGCTCTGGGTCTGGGTAGATCTGGAAGCGAGAATGGGGAGAAATGGCCAGGGTCAGAATCTGTTATAAACCCCAAGTCTCATCCCACTCCCCACCCCCAGTTTCTTGGCTCCACTTAGAGCCAGTAACAGCCTCTCTTGGGCTATTTGCTGCTCTGTGCCCAAAGATAAAAGACACGGCAGGTGGTGTCTGCTTTGCTGTTGGATCCCAGGGTCCATAACATGCCTTTGGCACCCTTTGGAGAGACAGCCAATCAGCCTGCTCAGTCCCAGGCTGTAGCACCCCCCACCTTCTGCTTCCTTTCCCCTGATACAGGGGTCTTGGCCCTCAGCCACAGGTCTAACTTGTCACCGGAAAGGGAAAGAACACTTCTTAAGTGCACAGAGCAGCTCTGTGCACCCCCATAGGCTGGGCATTGTGCCTGCCCTCCAGGGCAAACACAGGCCTCCGTTTGCAAACTGGCCTGGTGGGAGAAAACAGGATACCTTTGTGGGGGCACGCGATCCCAAGATTCTGGGTTGACACTGGCCCTGAGCCCACTGGCTGCCAGTAAGTTCCAGCCTCCACCAAGGGCAACAGCCTGAATCTGGGCTTCCGACTAGACTAGCTTTGCAGGCTCACCTTGGCATAGTCCAGGGGAAGTTGGTCCTCAGGGCATTTGAAGACTCCTTCACTGAAAAGGAGAGAGGGCAGTGTCAAGGCTCTTTATTATGGGAAGGGAGATCCTTGAGCCCCACCCCCCAAACCAGAGGAGCCTCCATGCCTTACCAGACCGGTTCCCAACCAGCCACAGCTGAGACAATGAGGCAAGCAGAGGCCTGAGGGGACCCACTTCTCCAGCGCCTCAGAAGACCCTAGCCCTAATCCTGGGAAAAGGGGTTCAGGGTCCAGTGAAGGCAGAGAGAGCTGCCTCAGACAGCACTTGGCCAACAGGTGGCAGCTGGCACCTCCTCCCTGGATGGCAGCTGGACTGGGAAAAAACAAACTGCCCAGCTACCTCCTCCCCCCTGGGTCATTTTCATTGGCTGGGCTGAAGCTGATGGGGAGGGTGAACAGGGATGGGCTGAGATTAAGTGCCAGGGCTACCCAGCCCCCATGAAGGTACCAGGCCAAGAACCAAGGCAAAGGTCAGCTTGGGGCCACTTATGCCATCCTTCCCCTCCTCTTTGAGGGTGTGTCTCCTAAAAGAAAAGGGAGGAAAGACAAGATCCCTGGCACTGTGTTTACATTCCCACCCAGTCCTCACCACCTGCTTGAGGAGAGTTGAAATGTTCTCATTTACAGGTTTAAGAACGGAGGCTCACAGATGAAGTAGCACCTGGATATGTCTATATCCGTTTCAGCAGCCCAGACAGGCTCTACTGTACGATAAGGCACAGAGGAGGCCAAAATGTCCAGGCAAACACAGCCAAGACTTGGGTCACAGCTGTCTAGGCTTCTGACCCACCCTCCTTTCAGTTGTCCCCTTCTCCACCAATCCCTACCTGGCTATTAGTATTCAAGGACTCTGGTGGCACACTTCCTCCTGCAGCATGCCCTTGCTGACCCCAGCCAGGACCAGTCACACATGTCTGGTAGGACTGAAGGCCCCTAGGCATGGCATTCCTGGCAGGTCTGAGTCAGGWGGGTGGGAGGCAGGCAGGCATCAAGGCAGGTGGGTGGGAGGCAGGCAGGCATCAAGGCGGAAGCAGAGGCCTCACAACATCCTGTCTTAAAGGCACTTTCCGGGCCTGGGCAACCCATGCCCCAGGTGCCCAGAATGATTTCTAGCACCCATCTCCTCCCTGCCTTCACTACCACTGGCCATTCCACCAATGCCAAGAACAATATGTGCCCAGGCTTACTGGCAAACCTGAGTAATGGCCCTGGCAGGAATGGGGAAAGAGGGGTGGACAAAGGGGGAGGGGTCCACTTGGCTGATTCAGGAATGTGCTGACTTAGTGGTTTTGGAAATGGCTGGGGGGGGGGGCGCGGATGGGACACAGGGCAGACGATGTAACACAAGTTTCTAGGCTTCAGGAAGAAGCTTACCCTATAGCTTGGGGCCCAGCCGGGACAAAGGTTTGGCTAGGGCTATGGACAACCTAGCTTGTACAGTAGGAGTGTCGACCAGGGGCAGAGCCTGCCCAACCACCTTTTCCCTCCAGAAGCGAGGGCAGCAGAGCTCCTAGCGCTGAGGGAAGGGGGGAAGCAGGGACAGAGCCTGCTCCAGGCTGTGCAGTGGAGGCCCAGGCCCAGGGGAGAAGACAGGATGGGGGGAGGGGGCTGTGGGAGAGGAAGAGGGGATTTCCGGGAGGGGGAGGGGCAGAAGCAACGGAGTGGGGCCAGAGAAGTAGATGGGGAGGGAGGGAAGCGGGTCTGACAGTCCCCACCCCCCTCTCCTTCCCCAGGCTTGAATCAGTTAAGGGTGGGTCAGCTGGAGGGGGCTGGCTCAGCTGGCCTCATCTGGAAACCAAAGGGCTGGGGAAGGGCTGCCGAGACAATGGGCCCCGTGTGTGTCTGTAGGGGAGTTAAGTGTGTACACCACAGGGAGGAAGGAGGGGGAAGGGGAGGAGGGGGCAGGACAGCAGCTTGTGCACGAGCGTATGTGAGGGCAGGGGCTGAGCGGCTTGCGGGGAACAAAAAACAAAGGGCCTGTGGAGATTTCCGCCAGCTAGGGGCTGCAGAGAGCCGAGGGTGGGATAACTGCAGCCGGAGCCCCAGATATGTTCTCCAGGTCTGGGCCCCTCCGCACAGCAAACAGCCTCCTGAACCGTGGCTGATCCCCGAGCTCCGACGGCAAGACCTAGCCAGGAGTCCCCAMGCTCTCTCACTTCCTCTCCCCACACCCTAGCCTGATCAGTTTCCAGAGTGGGCAGGTTGGATTCCAGACCGCGCAGGGCACCCAGAAACTTGATGGATGCCCAAGAAACAAGGAGTGATCTAGGTCCTGAGTGGGCAGGGGCGTTCAGGGGTCGACCCCTGCCTTAACAGTGCATTGCCCACCCGCTGTACTCAAGACCGCCCCTCTCCAAGAGAAGAGACACCCAAAGGGCACCCGCTTCAGGGAAGGGTTGTAGCATCACAATGCTCCCTCTATTGTGTGACCACAGAGAGCCCATGCCCGAATCACAATCAAGCCCTCGATTGTGTGACCCCGGGCAAGTCGCGGCCTTTCTTTGAATCTCTGGTTTCATCATCTGTGAAATGGGAGAACAATAGCGACCGGTATCTGAGCGCCCGAAGGATTACAGAAATTAGAGCGACGGACTCTCCAAAGGCTTAAAGTGCAGTGGGGGAGAGAGGGTTTTTGTCCTTCTCTTCCTTGAAAGACGTAAAGTTCAAGGATAAGGCCGCTCCCCTCAGGTGAGGGGGAAGGGCCGGTCATAGGTCAGGAAAAGCGTCTTTCCCTTGTCCGCATGGCTGGGAGGCTCGGAGTTCTTCCCACTGGCGCCTGGCAATTGGGATCAGGGACCCTACGAATAAGTGCGTGGGGTCTTCCCCTGGGGTCTGACAACATCGCCGCCCTGTGACGTCACGGTGGGTGCCCCTGAGGTCACGGGCCCGCGGCGTAGACAAAGGCCCGGCGTGCTTTGAGACTGGGCCCCTCCCCAAGTAGTTCCCTCCCTCTCCGCCATCGGCGATCCCTGGATGCCCCCGAGCCGCACCTGAGGAACTCCTGCAGGCAGGTGTCGCAGAAGCGGTGGCCACAGGTAGAAACCTGCACGGGCTCGCGCATGGGTTTCCCGCACAGCGGGCACAGCAGCCGCCGCTTGGGCTTCTCCAGGAACTTGTAGTCGAAGCCGGGCATGGCGGGAGAGCGGCGGGCACGGGCAAGCGGGGCCGGGCACGCGGCGGCCCCACAGCCCGCGCCTCGCTCCGGCCGCGCTCGCGGCTCCGGGCGGCGCCGACTGGCAGCCCCGGCCAAAGCCCGGCCCGCAAGGCCGCCCGCCGGAAGAGGGGGCGGAGCCGCGCCCGCGCGGTCCTAGTGCCTGGCCCGCCGGGCGCCCCGCCCACACCTTAAGCCTTAGTTCTGGGGTTAGTTKCGAGTAGACTGACTCCCGGGCCACGTACGTGAGCCGGGCTCGTCCACTCCCGGAAACAGGGGCTTCTTTCCCTTAGCACCAAGCTTTCTTTCTCCCTGGCGCTGGGTTGAAGGGGGAGTGGGGCTGTGCTACAAAAGTTTGCTTCTCCGGAGGCCACAGCTGGGCTTCCAGGGCCACGCACCACCCAGGGACCCGGGGCCCCAGGTACTAGGCAGCCGAAGCCTGGCAACCAGATCAGAGGAGCTGGGATGAGGAGGACGGGCTGGGCGCTGGGCCAGAGGAACCTCAGCCTCAGCCCCTGGCGGCTCCCAAATTCCTCCCTGGGCCTCAGCTTTGGCCATGCAATGGCAAGTAGTTGGGCCCAACCCAGTACTGAGGTTTCTGGCCACCATCATCCACCCCTGAAGAGACCATGCTCCAGGCAGGCAGTTGATAATTTTTATTAGAGCTACTTCCAGTCTTCTGGGAGACCTGTCTAGTTGAGCCAACTACCTTTTCCCCCAACCCGGGTTCGGGGACAGGCAGGGGGTGTTGGGCAACTTTCTGCCTTGATTGTCTTCATGACTCTTGCACTCCCCTAAAGGAAGGCTCTCAGAGTTTGTGYAGGAGGGGTTGGGGCAGGCAGGAGGCTTCCCTCAGACACTCCTGTTTCAGGCCATGCAGGGACTAGGCAGGCCCAATGGCCAGTCCAGGCAGGTTCCAGCTTGCCCTACTCAAGCTTGGAGTTAGTCTCACAGGGGTCACCAAGGATGTATTTCTGAGCGGAGGGAGAGGGCAGGAACTGAGTAGAGCCATAGGGATGGCTTTTTTAGGGATGGCTTTGGAGATCACCCTGCTTCCAAAGACTAGGTCTGGCTGCCAACTCCAGTGAGGCTGGACCACTATGAATAGTGAATAAGGAAAGAGGGAAAGGAGATGCTGGGGAATAGAGGTGGCTGAGGTTTCCCTATCTAGGTTCAAAAGCAGAGCAGGCCTTCACTGTCACTTCCATCCTGATGATATCACAATCCAGAAGGCTGGTGGGAAGTCATGCCTTAGGCACCTAAACTTTTCAGAATACTCAGAAGAGAAGCAATATCAGGGTGGTCCAGAGGTATCCCGGTGCCTCAAGGGGGGACTGGCTCATCTGTGACTGCTGGAGAGTATTAAAGAGAAATCCCTGCAGCTTCCCCGAGGGCAGTGCCTCCAGCTAGCATTGCATCCACCTCCACTCCTATTGGGCCTTGGAATGTCCAGGGCCAGCAATGGATATTCAACATCAACTTGACCCAGGGTGTAGGAGGAGAAAGAATGCATGTGAGCTCTGGGGAGCAGTGGAGGGAGCCCTTTCAATGAGGCTCAAAAACCCAGTCCTTGCCCACCCAAGCAGAAAGCTCAGAGTTTTACCTGGAAGCTTCTGCTTTCATTTATCCTGGGGGCTTGTGGTATAACTGCAGGGGATAGGTTTGTGGGGAGAGGACAGTTGGGTTAACACTTATGTGTATAAGGTGGGAAAAGATAACTCACGTCGAATAGCCAGGAGAGTGTTTCCATGGCAACAGGACACAGATGTCACTGTGTAAGGGTGTGTCTCATCCAGCTGCACTGGCCGAGGGAGCCCAGCATCTTCATCCTTCCTTCCTAGTCGTCCTCTGGCTCCTTTGCCCCAAGAGTAAACTTCACCCTCTGCCAGAGAGAATCCCAAGGTGGGAAGGGGAAGGGAAAGTGTACAGCCTAAGCAAGTACTATACAACCATACTGATTCCAACAGTATGTGGGGAGTTAYCATGCTCAGTGGTCCTGAGCATGATAACTCCCCACTATCTATACCTCAGTCTGCCCCATCATGCCTACCCTCACCTGCACCAATGGCTACTGTGAAGGCATCTCCACAGGCCACTGTCACCATCTTGATGCCCTCAAGGCCCTGGACTCGACATGGTGCCCGGCTGCCCCGGCGGGCATTAGTACCCAACTGCCCATGCTGATTGCTGCCAAAAGTGTAGCAGTCACCTGAGGCTGTGGAAAAGGGAAGAGGAAGGAAAGGGACACCTTAACAGAGGTCCCAAGGAGGCCAGGTGAGTCCCCCCTCAAGTACTACTCACCAGTCACAGCAGCTGAATGAGCAGTACCTAGGTCAACACTCAACAGGGGCTCCCRATCCAGGGGTGCAGAGCCTAATGGAGTAAAGGTCAGGGCTTCCTCTACTTGCTGGTGGGGTACAGACTCCTCTCCAAGGGAGTGATGGTCTAGGCCCAGCTTATTGAAYCTAAAGGCAAAGCCACAAACCAATGCAACTGACAGTTTGTATACACTGCCTCCCCCCACCTCTCTAGGCTAGGGCTGGTAAGATCTATCCCATCAGAAGACAGATCTCATCCTGAGGTGAACCAGGCAGCACCCTCAACCCCCTTCAGTTCCCTTGGTGGGAGAGAGCAATGAGGCAGCCAAGGAAGGCAAAGGAACATGGTAATCATCCTGATGCATCTATTCACCTATTGCTCCCACAGGCCAGGGCTCTGCCAGGCACGGTGAGGATCATGGAAGAGTCGATGCCACATACAACCCGCTGGGCTTCCTGTCCTAAGGGAACCAGCACCTGCTGAGGACAGCTATGGGACTCCCTGGTGCCTAGTCCCAGTCTGCCTAAAAGAAGAAACCAGGATGGGGTTAGTTTGAGCTCTAGGATTGGTGATGCCAGAATGAGGAGAGGCCTACTGAGGAGGGAACAAAATGAGTAGAGGCTATTCTCAGCCTGAAATGGCTTTCCTAGGCCCCTCTGTTGGTCAAAATCTTCAGATGCCACCTCTGCCCTTTCCAGGTGACATTGCTGTTCTTTGAATTCCCATACCTCTGAACCTTGGATGTAGCCCTGACACTGTCTATCCTCTAGCATGCTAGAGTACTCATAAGACTGAGTACTCTGGGCTAGGGATATAGCTCAGTTGGTAGAGTGCTTACCTCACATGCACAGGGCCCTGATTTCAATCCCCAGCACCACACACAAAAAAAATGACTGAGTACTCTCCCAGCACAAGGGTGCATACTTGTAATCCTAGCAACTGGAGAGGCTAAGGTAGAAGGATCTCAAGTCTGAGGACAGCCTGAGCAACTTAGTGAGATCCTGTCTCAACATAAAAAGCAAAAAGTAATGGGCTGGGGTTGAGCTCAGTGGTAGAGTGCTTGCCTCGCATGTATGAGGCCCTGGGCTTGATCCTCAGCACCACATAAAAATAAATAAATGAAAATAAAGATATTGTGTCCATCTACAACTAAAAAAATATTTAAAAAGGAATGGGATGTAGCTCAGAGGTAACATCCCTAGGTTTGATCCTCAATCCCAATAAGTAAAAATTTAAAAAACAGACTGAATCCTCCAGGAGAACAGGACCCATCTATGTCATCCCTAGTCTAAGTGCCAAGCCTGACGCTTGGCATAGAAAGAGCCTCAATAAATATAGCTGCATGGGCTATAAGTAGTTCAATGGTAGAACATGTTCTTAGAATGTGTTTGATCCCCAGCCCTGCAAAAAAATAAATACTGTTGAATAAGTGGAATCTCTCCATTGTTATTATTTTTTTAGAGAGAGACAGAGATGAGAGAGAAAGAGAGAATTTTTAATATTTATTTTTTAGTTTTCAGCAGACACAACATCTTTCTTTGTATGTGGTGCTGAGGATCGAACCCGGACCACATGCATGCCAGACGAGCGCGCTACCGCTTGAGCCACATCCCCAGCCCCGAATCTCTCCATTATTATGTTGTAAGCACAAGAAAGAAGCCCCATCTTTTTTTTTTTCTTTTTTTTGGTACTAGGGATTGAACCCAGGGGTACTTAACCACTGGGCCACATTCCCAGCACCGTCCCCCTACTTTAAAATATTTACATATTTTTAGTTCTCAATGGACCTTTATTTTATTTACTTATATGCAGTGCTAAGAATCAAACCCAGTGTCTCACACATGCCAGGCAAGGGCTGTACTACTGAGCTACAACCCCAGCCCTTTTTATTTATTTTTAAAATTTTTATTTTATTATTTTTGGGGGATACCAGGAATTGAATTCAGGAGCACTTGGCCACTGAGCCACATCCCCAGCCCTATTTTTGTATTTTATTTTTTTTAAAGAATTTTAATATTTATTTTTTTTAGTTTTCTGCAGACACAACATCTTTGTTTGTATGTGGTACTGAGGATTGAATCCGGGCTGCATGCATGCCAGGCGAGTRCGCCAGCGCTTGAGCCACATCCCCAGTCCCCCTATTTTTGTATTTTATTTAGAGGCAGGGTCTCACTAAGTTGCTTAATGCCTCGCCATTGCTGAAGCTGGCTTTGAACTAGAATTCCTCCTGTCTCAGCCTCCCAAGTCACTAGGATTATAGGCATGTGCCACCTTACCCAGGAATTTTTTTATTTTTAAATACTTTTTTCATTGTAGATGGACACAATCACAATACCTTTATTTATTTGTTTATTTTTATGTGGTGCTGAGGATTGAACCCAGTGCCTCGCACTTGCTAGGAAAGCACTCTACCACTGAGCCAAAAYGACCAACCTTTTTTTTTTTTATTTTGAATCAGGGTCTCACTAGTTGCTGAGAGGCTGGCTTTGAACTCGAGATCCTCCTGTCTCGGCCTCCYGAGCAGCTGGAACTACAGGCGTGTGCCACCATGCCCAGCATGGGAAGCCACATCTTATTCATCTTGTCTCAGTACCCAGCACAGGGTGAGCACGTAATGGGCATGAAATAAAAATCTGTTGAATTAATTAATAGAATAGAAAAGCTGGGCACATCCTAACGCAATGACACACACCTATAATCCCAGTGGTTCAGGAGGCTGAGAAAGGAGGATCACAAGATCAAAGCCAGCCTCAGCAACTTAGTGAGGCCCTAAGAAACTTAGAAGAACCCTGTCTGAAAAAATAAAAAGGTGGGGCTGGGGATATAGCTCAGTTGGTAGAGTGATTGCCTTGCAYGCACAAGGCCCTGGGTTCAATTCCCAGCACCACAAAAAAATTAAAAAATAAAAAAAAATAAAAAGGGCTGTTGGTTGTAGCTCAATAGTAGAATACTTGCCTAGCATGTGTGAGACACTGGTTTTGATCCTCAGCACCACATAAAAATAAATAAAATAAAGGTACTAAAAAATAAATAAATAAAAATAAAAAGGTCTAGGACATAGTTCAGTGATATAACACCACTATGTTCAATCCTCAGTACCACTGGGAAAAAAAAAATTGAGAGAATGGACCATGGGGTGGAAGGTGGGTACAAAGGGGAACAAATCATGGCTAAAGAGACAGAACCAAGAGGCTAAAGCCAGAGTAGGGAGCTTACCACCATCTCCACGACCCCAGGCAAACAGTTCTCGCTCAGTGGACAGGGCCAGCACATGGGAGGCACCACAGGCCACTTGTACCATCTCATAGCCAAGCAGGGCCTCCACTATGGTGGGCTAGAGAAGGGGAGAAAGCAAGGGGAGACTGGGATCTGATACTAAACACACACATACACTCTGCTACAGCACCCACTGTGCAGAGAAAGAGGCTGCAGATTCTAAGTGCTGTCTTAACTCCTGTCATATAAGGCTCAATGCCACATGAGACACTGGGGAAGCCTGGTCTTTTTTTTTTTTTTTTTTCCCTACCAGGAATTAAACCCAAGAGCACTTAATCACTGACCCACATCCCCAGCCCTTTTTATTTTTTATTTTGAGAAAGGTTTTCACTAGGTTGAATATAGCCTTGCTGAGTTGCTGAGGCTGGCTTCAAACCTGCAATCCTCCCGCTTTCAGCCTCCTGAGCCACTGGGATTACAGGCCTGCACCACCGTGCCTGGGAAGTTTGGTCTTTCTGTACTTCCCCTAAAGCAGCCCAGAGCAGGTGCAGCTTAGGAGCTACACAGAGACTTTATGCACCTGGGGACTTCCCTGCCCCCAGCCTGATTTCAACATTCATCCGTGGATTCCCTGCCATCCTCTCACTTCCCCTCTCTAGAGTACATGTGACACCTACCTGGCTGATATCAGTGAGGCTGCCATGGCCTAAGCACCCATTGCTGCCACTGCCAAAGGTCATGATGATGCCTCGGTCTGGAGAGGTCAGTAAGGAAAGAGGAGGGACAGGAGTTAGACTGTTCTCTAAGTCACTAGGTCACTCGTGGATTGGAGGAGCAAGATGAAGCTGGGGTTACAGGCCTTCACCACCACCTTGTGCAGTGTGTGACTTTGGACAAGTGACAGCCTCTCTGAACTTTAGTTTCCCCATCTATCATATGGGGATGATTCCATGCCTGTTTTATAGAGTAAAGGAGATGGTATAAATAAATCTCAACAGCAAGTAGAAACAATAACTTAACAACTAAGAGATGGAAGCATTAATTGAGCAATGAGGGAAGTTGCTCTTTGTGGTCTTCTCCTAAATTCCCATGGGGTAGTCCCCCCCGGAGAGGCTTACCAGTCAAACAGGCTGTGAAGAGGTCCCCGCAGGCCACATGCTTGATAGTCACACCTGACTGGCCTTCCAGGAAACGGGAGATGAACTGGGGCTGAGGCTGCTCCACTGCCCCTGGGAGGAGGGCATTTCCAAGGGCACCTACAGGTGGGGCCTGTGGGGGGGGTGCGCTGAACACCTCTCATCCTCCTCAGGGTCCTCCCACCCTCTACCTAGTCCAGGCCCCCAGCCAAACTGCTTGCCTCCCACAGGATTAGGCGCCCAGAACGTGTGATCCCGGCCTTCTGYGTGCGCCCAGTGGCCACCTGAACCACCTCTGTGTTAAGCATCGGCAGCTTCAGTGGGGTGCTGAGCCCGCCACCCCATGTGTACACAGATGATAGTGGTGGTGGGATGGCCGGCCTCACAGGTCCCCGGGGGATACCTGCCAGTAAAGGACACTGGGTCAGTTAAACTGGCAGGCATAGTGGGGAACCATGGGCCCAAGTACCCACTTCAACTTACCCCTGCAGCGGGTACTAGTGGTTCTGCTCCCTGTGCTGCCCGGGGCCATGGGTGTTCCTGGGGCCAGGGATTTCTCTGCTCTGCAGGACAGATAGGACCTCAGACACAGAACCTCCCTGACAATCCTACACACAGGCATAGAAGCCTTGCTTGAGGTCTCCTGTGCCCCACAGGGTGCTCCCAACCTCTGCCACCCAAGATCTATCCCTTTTTTCCCCACAGCACAGGCCTCCTCATGCGGATGCTGCCCACATCGGTGTGCAGGTTAAGTAGGGCTCGGATGCAGAGGGGCTGTGCCATGATGTGGCTCAGTGGTGGCCGATGTGCAGGCTCCAGGCTGAGCAGACTCAGGACAAGCTGGCGTAGCTCAGGGCTGTACCGGTCAGAGATGGGCGCAAAGGTGCCACTCATGATCTTTAACACTAGCGCTGGCAGGTTCTGTGAAGGTGCCAAATTAGGGATGGCCTGAGTGTTGAATTGGGCTTTTGAGCACCCTTGTCCCTCAGCCCCTGGTCTGATGGTGAAAGAACAACCCTGCCTTCAGACGACTTCATTCTCATTAGGGGACTCCCAGGATGATAGGGGAGCCAAACCCTGCTTTCAGGAATCCATAAGGGAGCTGCTCCAAATTTCTCAGGAGCTGCTCCTGTGAAACTCCATGTTGACAAAACTCATGGGCTTGCTCTTGGTAGTGTCCTAATCTCATGGAAGAGACATAACCATGCCATCAGGAGCTCTCTAAAGGGAGGAAACGAGCCCTACCCTCAGAAATTCATAGTCTGAGCAAGAACCACAGCTCTGCCCTGGGTAATCCACCAGTCTGGATGAGGCAGACACAGATGGGATTCTCACACACACAAAAAAAGAGAAGTGGTTGGAGCTGAGGGCTGCGGTGAAGGAGGGATTTCCCAGTTCCCTCAGAGGTGCTTATACTCACTGCAGCCTCAAAGGCCCTCTTGAGGCTGGCCAGCTCATAGAGGACACAGCCCAGGGCCCAGATGTCGCTCTTCTGATTGTAGGGCTTGCCCTCACACAGCTCAGGGGAAATATAGCATGGAGTACCTACCACCTGCAGGAGAGAAATCTCAGTTACAGCCTGGAGGGGGAGGAAAAACAGAAGCTCTGGTCATGGGCCCAGTGAGAGACAGATTCTCCCTGAAGCAGGCCAAGGGGTTTCCTCCTGCAAGACTCTACAGCCAGGGGCCAAGGAGCTAAGGTCTATTGAGCCCAGAGGTGCTTTACTTGAGAGCTACATCCCTAGTCCTTTTTATTTTCCATTTTGTGACAGGATCTTGCTAAATTGCTGAGGCTGGCCTCAAATTTTCCATCTTCTTGCCTCAGCCTCCTCAGTCACTGGGATTACTAGCATGTGCAACCACACCTGGCTGAGCCAAGGTTTTGGGAGGGGAAAAGGAGGAGGCAGGGATGTAGAATAGGCCTTGGCCCTCAAGACCTCTAGCACCCTCAAGGCTCCTTCCAAGTCCAGGTACCGTGTAGGCCTTGCTCTTGCTGCTAAGGATCTTGGAGATGCCAAAGTCGCCAATCTTGACAACCATGCGATGTTTGTCRAGAAGGATGTTCTGGGTCTTGAGGTCCCGATGCAGGATGAGATGGGTATGCACGTGATGCAGGGCAAGCAGAATCTGCACAAAAAAGTGCAGGATGGTCTCTTCCTCCAGCAGGGAATTGCAGCGCTTTTGGATGAACTCAGCTAGGGTACCACCTGCAGCCCAAGAAACGAATCAAGATCCAGTCTTTTCCATACCTAGGACAATCCCTTTTACTGAATAGGTCACTAGAACCAGAGAGGACAAGAAATCTGCCAGGGTCACAAAATTGGGGCCAGAACTCTATACCTCTGACCCTCAGCCAAATCCATTCTAAGGGGAGAAGCCGCCTGATCCTGGAGGTAAAGAACCCCTGCAGCCAGGCCAGTGCAAGGAGCTGACTTACCTGGTGCATATTCCATGGCAATCATGAGGGCCTTGTCCTCTAGGAAGTTCTCATAGTACTCAATGACATTGGGGTGATTTAGCAGCTTGAGCACCTGACACTCATTCTGGGCTGCTTGCCGCTCTTCCTTGGTCATCTGCTCCACTGGGATTTGCTTGATGATCACTAGCTTCTGGTCAGCTTTACGGAGGCACAAGTGCACAATCCTGGAGACAAAGTAGAGGGCGGGTACTAGCTGAATTTCCAGCCATATATCAGACAGAGCAGAGCTAGTGACTGGATGTTCCTCAGTGACTGGGTTTGATCCTCAGCACCACATAAAAATAAAAATAAATATAAAGATACTGTTTAAGTACTTAATGGGTGGAAGTCATTCATATTAGTATTTCATTAGTTTTATGTGTGTGTGGGGGGGTATTAGGGTATGCTACTAGGAATGCTCTATCACTGAGCTATATCCCCATCCCTGATTGTGGTGGCACACATCTGTAATCTCATCAATTTGGTAGGCTGAGGCAAGAAGATTCCAAGTTCGAGATCAGCCTTAGCAATTTAGCAATATCCTGTCTCAAAAAACAAAAAGGGAGCTGGGCATGGTGGTGCACACCTGTAATCCCAGCAGCTCAGGAGGCTGAGGCAGGAGGATAATGAGTTCAAAGCCAGCCTCAGCCAAAGTAAGGCACTAAGCAACTCAGTGAGACCCTGTCTCTAAATAAAATACAAAATAGGGCTGGGGATGTGGCTCAGTGGTTGAGTGCCCCTGAGTTCAATCCCTAGTGCTCCCCCCACCCA